GACCGCTATAGGGATCTGAAGAGGGAAGCGAGACGTATTTGCCGCAACAAGAAGAGAGAGGCAGAAATACGTGAGTGCGAAGAGCTTGAAATGNGAAGAGCTTGAAATGCTGGCCGACAGGATGAATGCTCGAACATTTTACCAGAGAGTTAGGTGACTTACGGAAGGTTTCAAGACCGGGGCGTACTCCTGTAAGAACAATAATGGCGACCTAGTAACTGATGTCCACAGCGTACTTAAATTATGGAGGGAACACATTTCCGCCCTACCAATTGGTAGCAGCACGGAAAGTTGTGGAGAAGAAGAACCCGAGCCGCCTGACTAAGACGAGGTACGTATTGCAATAAGGCGGCTGAAAAACAACAAACCTGCTGGAGCTAACAGCCTGCCAGCTGAGCTATTCAAGTACGGCGACGAGGAGTTTATAAGGTGCATGCATCAACTCTTGTGCAGAATATGGTCAGATGAACGCATGCCCGACGACTGGAATTTAAGTGTTGCTCTGCCAATCCACAAGAAAGGTGAACGTGCCATTCGCGCCAACTACCGCGGGATCAGCCTTCTAAGCATAGGTTACAAGGTCTTATCGAGCGTATTGTGTGAAAGACTGAAGCCCACCGTCAATGAACTGATTGCGTCTTATCAGTATGGCTTTAGACCTGAAAAATCCACCATAGACCAGGTATTCGTAATACGCGAAATCTTGGAAAAGACCCGCGAGAAAAGGATCGACACTCACCACCTATTTGTCGACTTTAAAGCCGCTTTTGACAGCACTAAAAGGAGTTGCCTATACGCCGCTATGTCTGAATTTGGCATCCCCTCAAAACTCATACGGCTGTGTAAAATGACGTTGAGCAATACCACCAGCTCCGTCAGAATTGGGAAAGACCTCTCCGGGCCGTTCGCCACAAAACGGGGTTTCAGACAGGGCGACTCCCTTTCATGTGGCTTCTTTAATCTGATGTTGGAGATATAATAATAGCTGCAGAACTGAACCACTCAGGAAAAATTTACTACAATAGCGTGCAATTGCTGACTTATGCCGATGACATCGACATCATCGGTAACAAAAACCGCGAAGTCTGTTCTGCCTTTTCCAANAACCGCGAAGTCTGTTCTACCTTTTCCAAGTTGGATAGGGAAGCAAAGCTAATGGGTCTGGTGGTAAACCAGGACAAGACGAAGTATCTCCTGTCATCAAAGAAACAGTCAGCACATTCGCGCCTTGGCACCCACGTCACTGTTGACAGTTACAATTTTGAGAAAGTAGAGAACTTCGTTTACTTGGGAACCATCATTAACAGCGGTAATAATCTCAGCATTGAAATCCTACGCAGAATCACTCTTGCCAACAAGTGCTACTTTGGACTGAGTAGGCAATTCAGGAGTAAAGTCCTCTCTCGACGTACGAAAACCACGCTCTATAAGTCACACATCATGCCCGTGCTGGTGTATGGCGCAGAAGCATGGACAATGACAACATCCGATGAGGCGGCTCTTGGAGTATTTGAGAGAAAGATTTTGCGGAAGATTTACCGGCCTTCACGCGCGGACGATGGAACGATGAGCTGTATGAGCTTTACAATGACATGGCCGACGCTCCAGCTCTGAAAGTATTCAACTCGGAGCCCGCTGGTGGTATCAGAGGAAGAGGGAGGCCCCCACTGCGATGGAAAGATCAGGTGGAGAAGGACTTGGCTTCACTTGGCATTTCCAATTGGCGTCAGTTGGCACAGAGGAGAAGGACTTGGCTTCACTTGGTATTTCCCATTGGCGTCAGTTGGCACAGAGGAGAAACGACTGGCGTGCTTTGCTGAACTCGGCCAAAATCGCTTAGGCGGTTACAGCGCCAAAAAAGAAGAAGAAGAAATACCCAGCGGACCAAATGCTCGCAAATTATACCAGTTGCGGGTAAAATGTGAGAATTATTCCAAAAAAACTCTCGCTAAAGGCTCGTGTTTTGCTCCGCTGTATATGTGTATAAGTATGTGCATTTGCGAATCAAAACCTTTATCTAAATTTGAGCTGGGCGATAAAACTACATGTATAACTAAGTGCGTCTACGATTACGATTACTTTAATCCCAGTTTCAGAATAGTTTGAATTCGGATTGAAATAATCGTAAATCGAAGGAGTAATAGATTAAGATTATATTAAGAAAAATTAGTAGCACATGATGTATCAATTAAAAAATACTTTTTATTTTATGTATGTGAATTTTACTCATTTCTTAGCTAAAATCACTAGACATAAGAATTTGTATGTAAGAAAAACACAAATTTTTCAGATAATTTTGAATTCGGCATCCATAAGTTTTCTTATATATAAAAAATGTTAGAATCCGCTCCCTTCTCGCTCACTCTTTTTTTAGTACCTTAGTATATTATCACGGAATCATGGGCGATCAAAGCACTCGTGGTGTTACATGAAATATAACCTTCGAAATTTTACTAACTAATACCTTGTTTATACCGACACATAAATCGCTTTGACCTAGTTCGCTCTGAACTTCAAAAGTTTAGGATTTCAAAAGTGTATTGACTCGAACTTGATTTCAAATCGGGTTTTTATATCTCAAATCAGTTAGAAAACAGGTATAAACACATCACTCATTCGACGCGAAGTGAAAATAGGTTGGTTTTCTTTATACAGCCCGTTTTAAATTTGAATTATTATTAAAATAGATTTGAATTATTGTTCATTTCCATTTCAGTCAATCGTGCAAATCAATTATTAAAGAAATATCGAAATAAAACAACAAATTGTGCATACATTTGAATACGGTTTCAGCGAGTGCGCTGTAAAGACACAGGCATAAGCGCTTGAAAGAAATACGTTTTAAGTCAAATTGGTTTTTTATCAATGCGGTTCTTGCGTAGGTATAAACAAGGTATACATTTTGTAATTCACGATTAGTGGAAATGGTTTTTGTGTTTTGTGGATCAAATTCTTTTCAAGAAACTTGTTGGACTATTCTAGGGGACGCAGATATAATACCTTGCAAATTCTATAATAACGCACTTTTTACTTAATATGTAAAAAATATTGTAAATTACTTATTGTTACAGACGGGAAAAATTTAGGAGAAATTGACGACCAAGTCGAACCGGACTTGCTGCATGATGATAGCTGCACGGATAAAATAATAAGTGTTTACAATAATATATGTTTGGTTGACTGTGCATCTCAGAAACGAAATGATTTTTTTAAACCGTCAGATTAAGAAAACCTCTCCAGATAATCGTCAGATTTTGGAACAGGACGACCAGGGCATCGAGATGAACCTTCTGTATGAAAAACTGACGCGCTCGAGTAAATCCAAATGGCGATTTTTTATGCATCTTCGAGAAGACGACACGAGCTTGCGTCACATCTGAATCGTCAGATTATTGAATGGGAGGTTCATTTGGGCCCATTTAACATCCCTTGTGAATATCTGACGCGCTCGAGTAAATTTTTTTGTCACCCATTTTTGACCCTTCCGTAAGCCCAACCCTACCATGCAAACCGGCAGAATAGTATATTTCCGTCATCAGAAACACGTTTGATTCATTCACCGTCAATATCTGATGCGATCGAGTAAATCCATGTAACTGTTTTTTTTACATTCTTGGAAGCTTGTAAATCGTCCACCCGCCGCTGAGAAGAAAAACATCACATGACCTTTTTTTCTTCCCATCATATAATCTTCAAAATCCAATAGGTCAAAATGACGCTCGATTAAATCCCGATTTAGCATCGTGGACTCCCCTAATAGAATGGGTACCTCACTAACACGAGAAGAACATTAAGTCCCGAGACGTCAAGTTGCAAACTAAAAAATTCCCAAGTTTTTTTTTAAAGTTCAATCTCGACTGCCTCTAAAATCGTGTTGATTCGCTTTTTCACAGTGTGATTGTGCAGTTCCAAAGAATAAGTAACGTATACACGTGCGCGAATCTGCTGCGCTTGTTAACAGAACAGCCCAGCCAGCAAAAAATCCGAAAATTAATCCGAAAACGGGAAGAAAACTGGGTGGAACGTGGATTAGGTCTACAAATATATCGAAAATTGTTGTGAAAAGGGTAAGTTTTCAGCTATTTTTCTGAACATTTTCTGATTAAATTTTTCGTTAAAAAAACGTACTGGATAACTACGCTTAATAGCGAAATACAACACACAAGCGGCTTGAAAAACCAAGCGAAATATCCCTTTTCTGCAAGCCATTTGCGTTGTGTATGAGTTTTGATGAACCGCTGAAATTAATTTTAATAAAAATCAAAATTTTGTTATTTTCTGGCAGTCATGTTGAAGTTTGATCGAACCGCTTGCGTTGTGTATGGAAAGTTTAAAGACCTTGTCCGCACCACTAGTATACTCCAGCCACTAGCGGTACCAGGCATACGCTCGCGGAACCCACTTTGGGAAAGCCGGCATTAAACCACGTCAAAAAAATAAATATCCTGCAATGCGACCGCATTATAACACAGACTTAAGTTACGATCATTCAAGGAGGTCGCGCATCGAGTGTTAATTTTTCCCATAGTAATTTCAAAACGCTCGAAACTATAAGAGTACGTTGATTATATGCCGTTTAGGTATTATGTATTCTCAGATTCTTTAAATTCTGAGATTATCCTTTTTAGTCGCTTGCCCTGTTTGAGTCAAATCTAGTAATTACCAAATTTTTTTTTGGAATTTAATCTGGGCATGCATAATATTTAAATGACATGTAATCAATGTAGTAACGTATTTTCTTACGTGTAAATCATATGGGAAAAATAAACCCTCGATGCGCGACCTCTTACAAATGTCGTATGAGGGGATATTCCTGGAGGATCATTTCTAAACTCTAAGTCAGATTGCGGTCGCATTGCTGGATTTTTATTATTTTTTACGTGGTTTAATATACATACACAAATCCCTTCATAAACTACAATTGCTCTGTACTCTGATCGAATCGAAATTTATTTAAACTAGGGAAGATCTAAAGTGTGTTTAAAACACTTTTTACTTACAATTTTTCACAGATGTGTAACCTTCAGCGGCACTTCCATTGCTTCCTCCACCATTCAAGCTAATGTCACTCGTTCCATTGAACGTATGTCCATTGGACTGCCTCCCAACACTGTTTAGGGTGGTTGTACTGCTAGCTCGAGAACACCATGCATCTTGGCTTGAAGACGGGCCTTTGTGGTGATGATTACCATTTGTTATCTCGATACGTGTTAAGTCTCCATTCGATTTGCTTCCAACGACACTTTTGAGCGTTCCATAGACACTACTGCCAACACCACCCCCAGAACTACCAGACTCCAATTGGCGGGCATACGAATTATCGGCGTAAGCATGAAAACAACATCTGACTAGAGCATTCGCGGCAGCTTCTCGTTTACAAATAAACACGTGACATTCAAGGACTTTGATGCCGGTTGTTCGTCGTAGAATAGCGGCAAATATTGGTGGGTGTTGGACGCGGGGCATTCGAGCGAATGGAGAGTCAAGTGGTAAGAATTTTGGTTCTGGCTTAGAATTTCCCCGTTCTGGTATTAAAACTTGTCGTACAGCCGCGCAGTAGTGCAGAGATTCAATAGGAAAAAATCGGGTGATTTGTTTTAAATTTTCATCAACGTTTTCAAGTAGAACTCCATTTGACCAAACACTTAGCCATGAGTCTATACCTTTAGCACCAACCGCACCTTCGGAAGGATAAAGAGTTCTCAAGGGCTCTTGAATTCCTTGTAGCCCATCCTTACTTTGCCGCGGAACGGCACTACCCAAATAAAGTACGCGACATCGGCAAATTGGGGTAGAATCACTCATTTTTAACGATTAGTAAGCTTTTTACTACGATAAAATGTAGATAATGAAAGGCGCATTCAAACCTAGTGGAACTACATATAAACCTTAGTTTTAGGTGACACTCGTTGACAGAAATAAAGTGTAAAAAGAAATATCTTATATGAATGTGTGTAAGACAGAGACAAGTGTCAGCAAAATTTATGCAGATACTCAAACATAAAGCGAATTGTATACGTAAAGTTTTGTCATACATACAAAGACGTTAACAAAGTTGATTTTCTGGTTTTGGTGGTCTTGAAGTGGTTCTTAATTCAATTCGTTTCTTTACATTTTCACCACCCTGACCGTTTATACATGAACACACTTTAATTGTATTTACATATAAGCATACATATGTACATACAAAAGTTAAATTAGGTATCTCTTTGCATTCCAACTGCATTCGCGATTGCCTAAGATATTTGGTTTTATTTTCCTTCTCATGTAAAAACTTATACATTCCACAATATATTTACATATGTATACGTATGTATATGCGATGGTACTTGTATACATATAAAAACGTTGGTTATCATGCACATGCACACATATTATTTTTAATTATACATTTATCCCTTGTTGTTTGTTTAACATTTTAAATACGTAAAATAAGTATTATTCAGATATTTTTTCTTGTTAAGCTATAAAACTCCTTTCAGTAAAACGTCTTTCGCCTACCGAAATTACAGTACGTATTCACTTTTCCGATTTTGCTGTTCCACTGCACTGTTACATGATATTGTGTGATGGCTGGAATTTAAATTTTTGTGGCGAAAAAAATGGCGCCGTTCGAGAATTTGCTCATTTTCACAAATACATGAGAATTTTTACAAGTCGATACTAATAAACCGCTATGAATGTATGTATGTAGGCATATGGATGCGGTGGTATGCTTATTTTCACGAATAATTTGCATTTGGAGTTGTGTCTATGCAAGTAAAAATCGCCAGCTCCTTTTGACCGGTTGACCGTAAGACGGGAAGTGAAAATATGTCGATTCGTAACATATTCAATGATCCCACTTTCATTTCACACGCATATACAAAAATGCGCAACTTAATGGATTAGATCGCAATGGAATGACCTGATGTTCGCAAGTTATCTGTATAAGTTTGTGTATGTTCGAATACAACGCAAAAATCCGACAACTAAACGAAAAGGCAAAAAATCCGGTCATTGCATCAACGTTGCTCACTTGACGATAGTATACTCACGATTGGTGTATCTAACCTAAAACGATCATATCCAAAGTACCGACGTGGTATTTTGCTCTCCGTCTTTTTGCCTTCGTTCGTTGTCTTGAACCACATCTCAATACTTGTTTTAATAATACCACAGAATAGATACAGGTAGACTCGTACTATTTACATACATACATATTAATGTATTTCTTTGTAAAATATGTAAGTGTAAGTACTGGTGTTAACTTGAGGTGAGTTTTCAGTTTTTATATTCTTTTGACTGCATACATGAATATGTGTATCTACATATGTACATATGTTGTTTTGTTATACCAGAGCGCACTAGTGCACAAGGGTATCTATTATAACTTTGTTTGTATACATAAAGGCTCATAATTAAAAAAGAAATCGATTAAGCCGTGCCTGTCTGTCCGTCCGTCTGGCTGTACACACGATAACTCGAGAAAAAATTGATATATCTTAACGAAACTTGGTACGTGTGCTTCTTTTCCGCCAGGACAGATTACAATGATCTTTAGGGCAAAACAAAGAACATTATACATTTTCGGAAAATGGGCGTAGCCCCGCCCACTTATGACTCCATATGTATATGTCGGTAACCGCTTTACCGATTTCTCCCCAACTTGGCACAGTTGTTGGTCTTAGTAAACATACCAAACGGCTGAAAATTTAAAAATTTATTTAGGGAAATATGAAATCTTCGATAAATCAGTAACTACTGAAGCTAAGTTATTCAAAATTGATGTTTGCAATTATTCTTTAGCAAAAAATATCTGCATAAAAGATGTTTGGAAAATAGGCATAGCAACGCCCACTTATGACCACATATGTAACCTTCCATCAATTTGTACCAAACTCGGTACAATCATTGTACTTGCCACTTAAAGGCAAAACGTTGGAAATATTTGAAATCGAATTAAAGTTACTCCCACTTTTCATATAACGGTAAATTTCAGAAATGCTGAATCTTCGATATCTTGAAATTTAAGGACGCTAATTTACTTAAAGTTGATACTCACAACAATCCCTAAAAAATTAATATTATTATGGAATTTTGGAAAAGGGACTTGGTACAACCCACTTATAAATGTATAACCTTATCTCATTAAATCTAACTGAACATACTACCAAAAATGTCTTAATTAGCGGTACAACAACCCCTACTTACCATGTAACGGCAGTTTTCGGAAAGGTGAAAAAACTATATCTAATACGTGCGCTGGGTATTTAATGTTCGGCTTCGCCCGTACTTGGGCTATTTTACTAGTTTTTTGCGCTTTGTGTTTAAGGATTTGTGAGAGAATGAGAGTGAACGTATTCTCTTGAAATGTGAGAAATATAAAATTTGGCAGCAGTAATTGACCGTACCTTAATTTCTTACCTGTTCATTGCTAAAAAGGTATAAAGTAATACCAAAGCTGCTCACAAATTTGTGACCACACATGCATATTTCTGTGGTCGTAAGCAATAACCGCCTAAGTCGACTTAAGAAAGAATTGACTTATATATGCTGTCGTTTTCTGCAACTATTATTCCATGTCTACGTGAAACACCCATCTCGTTACCTATTCTATTTAAAAAGTTATAAATGAAAGTATTTTGGTTTCCCCATAAGGTTAACACATATATGTAATACTCCTATATTGGCAGTAAGAGCTAGAGTACCGTCCGAAAACACTACAGTACAGATGTATCAATAAACACGTACGAAAGAAAATGAAAACATACGTTTATAAATAAACATGTACACAACACATATACAAAAACGGCACTCAAGTACACAATACATTGACAAAAACGGTACTAGACTGTCTCGCTTTGATTTCGGAATGCTTACACATTGAGAAGTTAGCTTACTGCCAATATAGAAGTATTACATATATGGGTTAACATTACAACCCAAATCTTTAAAGCGCTTTTTCTCGAATTCAGGTTTTTCGACTTAGGCAATTATTGCTTATGACCACAGATTTATGTTATAAGAATCGCATTGGCAAGCTACCTAAATATTGCTGTTACCCATATAGGAATGGGCGGGGGGCGGGGAATAAAATAAAAACCTGCTAGCATAAATAGAACCCAATTAAAATGCCGTTTAAACGAAATAAAATTATAGTCCGAGAGGCGAGCGACAAGGCTTTGCAAGCCTTTTGTAATAAATATGTACATATTTTTGATATTATGTCACATCTGTGGTAGAAGATAAATAGTCTACCGTTATTTAATTTTGTATAGAAACTCTATTCATTGCAACTACTTAACAACTTCTGGAAATAGAATTGCGAATAGCTTATTGATTAAAAATTTGTATTACATTAGTCAGTCATAAAGATCTGGCAACAGAGCGCATCAGTAATGCCTTGAAGTTAAAAAACTCTGCATCGTGGAAGTATTTCATAAAACCTGAAATTCAGTTTACAGGTTATTATTATAATTACAGACATAATTGTCAGAATTTTTCTGTAAAATATGCCGTCAGTCGCCGATAAAAAGTAACGCCAAAGGCGCATTCAAATGGTGGTGGCAATTGCATATAAGTAAAAATCCCGTGTACTTTTTTATTGCTTTTTGGTACATCAGGATGTCAAAACGAAAGAAAATATAATATAATTTTAGCCCATTCGTTTTGTTGACATCCTAAAGTTACGCCATTTCGTATTGGATGACATTCTCCTGTACTAGTGTAGAAACTTTAATCCAACCAGTTGTTCAATCAACCCCACCTTGTATTGATGCGCCTTGGTATCGCTTTACACTTCTGTAACATGACGCTCTCAATAAATATTAAAAAGTTGTATGTTTCGCTTTCCTATCGCATTATTATTGGTACAGAGCAGGGATGAAAAATTCAAATTTCAGATTGTATCTAATATCATAAAATAAATGCATCTAAATGAGATAAATTGTACCTAAAAAAAGTTACATCATTCGTTTGTAGATTTTTTTATTAATTTTATGTAAAATATGAATACAAAAGATGCACTGTAAACTTGATTAGGATTTTTTTTTATGTAACTGAGCTTATATCTATAGACTATAGTCTAATAGGAATCGGAGAAGTTTTACTTTAGTCTAATTTTGACTACTGAAAAATATTGGGGCAAAAGACAAATGATTCGTTACTTTTTTTTCTTTGTGACCACTTTTCTTTGGGATTGTTTATTGTTCCAAATGAAAGTTAAGCTTCTCCCATGCCTACAAGTAAATGTCGACCACTTTGCGCAAATGTATCGTATATGCCAGAAACCAAATTTTACAGGAGAGCGTTTTTTTACTTTAAACATTTTTTTGAATTTTTTATTTAATTTTTTTTACTATTTGTGTTCAAAATACTTTTGTATGGCATATACGATAATTTCGCCTTCAAATAATCACTGTAACATACAATAAAATATACAGTAAATTTTTGGCGTAACTATAGGGATTTTAACCACAATATTTTATCAAGTGATGCGGTGTGGATTGTATAACAAGTTTGTACCAAAAAGTCAATTTCGAAAAAAGTGGCACATACGATAATTTTGCGCAAAAGGGGTCCATATATTAACACGGTAAAAGAAAACACTAAAACTGTATCTGATGAAAAGATGATTGTACCTAAAATCAAGTGATTGTACCTAATGCACCTTTAAGGCAAACGCCAGAAAAAGGTACAATTGTACCTACCTTTTCATCCCTGGTACAGAGGATATTTTTTCAAAAATCTTTTGATGAAATCGCTTATAACTGCCGCAAAAAAGCAAGGATTTTAACGATTTTTTTTTTAATTGCCGATATTGATCTACTGAATCGATCTAGTGAACTAAAAATCAGTAATTGTTTATTAATAATTAATTATTGTTTATAAACAAAAAAATTTTTTTTTTCAAATTGATTTTTTTCAAATTGCCACATCTTTTTTATCTTTCAAACTTTTTTGTCTATTAGGGAATAGTATAAACTATTTTCAGTACGAATAGCAATATGCTAAAATTCGTCGTTTTCGAGTTGTAATTTTTTTTCTGAAAATGCACTTATATGATGCTAGCAGATTTTCGTGCCAGTTGAGGACGCAAAAATTGTTGCCCATTATGATAAAGTTTCCTTGCTGGATATTTTTTGAGGTTGCCCGATCAGAGCCAAAAGTTTTTTCCAATTGGGCTCTAATTTTGGCCCAATTGGGGCCCAATTAGCGATTTGCCCAATCTACCGAAGATTTCCCCAACCAGTGCTCACAATTTGCTCAAAGTGAACATGCATACGAAATTAAAACGATTTTATCGATAAAATCACACATACACACATCAAAATTCCCTACGAAAAAAAAATAGTTTTTAATTTTTCTCTTGAAAAATTTTCCACATACAAATTTGTTGATAAAAAAAAATTGTTTTTGAAAATATGCCATTTCAAAAAAAAAAATGGAAAAAATCACAATGGTAGCTCTGAGTATTGCGCAATATTTAAGTATAATGTTATGGAGTGCACT